TGGTGTAATTTTGGTCGTTGATAATAAATATGAAATTCAAATTGATTAACTGCTGGTTGGATTTTAGCAATAGCTAATAACTCTTCTAACTTTTTAATATTGAAATTAGATACTCCAATACTTTTAACTAATCCTTCTTCAACTAATTTCTCCATTTCTCTCCATGTTTCTTCAATTGGAATTATTTCTTCAGTAAATTCTCCTGTTTTCTTATCTGCTGTTAATGGAATATGAATAATATAAAGATCAAGATATTCTAATTGTAATTTCTTTAATGATTCAAGACATGCTGGTCGAACATCTTCTTTATGTTTATCAGTACTCCATAATTTGGTTGTAACAAATAATTCCTCTCTTTTAACATACCCCTTTGCTATAGCACTCTTAATCCCATCTCCAACCTCTTTCTCATTTCCATATGCTTTTGCACAATCAATATGTCGATATCCATTCTTTATCGCAATCTCTACTGCTTTTCCAACTTCTCCATTCGCTGACATCCATGTTCCAAGTCCAAGTTTAGGAATTTTATAACCATTGTTTAATGTAAAGTAAAAGTCCATCTCCTATTTATTCTTTCTTTTTGCTGTTTATATATAATTCTTTATGAAGTATCGAAAATAAGGAAATTTCAAATAAAATAAAATTGTCATAAATTTCGGTGGTATTGAAGTTTCAACTAAATAAATTTTGTTATAGTTTTGAATATATTGTTTTTATGAGAATCAATACTACAAATAATAAATCAATAAAACACTAGATGAACACCACTGCTGAACAAGAAACAAAGTACATGTTAGAAGGTAAAATTATGATACCAGCAACACCTGATGGAGTTGCTGCATCAATTGCATTAGGAAATAAGTTATTTGATTTCAACCATGAACGAGATTTATCCTTCAAACAATAGTTGGTCACTTAGGAGAAAATAGCAATGTCTTTGTGCCATTCAATTGCACACGAGGGAATTTCATTGATATTGGAGATAACACAGTAATTAACATTAATTGTTATATTCTTGAAGGTGGACCAGTGAAAATAGGAAATAATGTGATGATAGGACCTAATGTTAGTCTTATAGGTGGTACACACTCAACTGATCCAAAGATCAGAAACGCATGTGGTGGAACAGCATATGGAAAACCAATTACCATCAAGGATGGAGCATGGATAGGATGTGGTGCAATCATCTTACCAGGTGTAACAATTGGAGAAAATGCGATTGTTGGGTCAGGAAGTGTAGTCACGCATGATGTTCCAGATAATATGATTGCTGTTGGAAATCCTGCTAAAGTTAGGAGAAGAGTTTCAGAACATCTAGGATGGACAATAGAGAATAGGGATGTTCCATTAGACTAAGACAGAATATATGAAATAATTATAAATGGTAATTAACTTTATTTTAATGACAAATATTAAGAAACAACTTGTTTGATAATTTATTATAAATTCAATTCATACAAATACAAAGAATTATCTCTAAGATAAAGTTTGGTAATGAAAATTAGAAGTAGAAAAGTTGAGTCATAATAAATTAAATAGAGAAAGAATTAATCATAACAATTTATTTTCTCAATTTAATACATAAATTATTTAATTCACTTCATTAGTTATTTCTAATGATAATGTAAGTTATATTAATGTTTATTAAAACATTTCATCAATGTTTAAACATTAAACCTTTTTCTTTCATAATAAACATACTTAAAATACTTCATCAAATATATTATTATTATTTGTGTTGATTATCATTATGTATTTCATAAATCATCTTTTATCAATTTATTTGTATTTCTACATATTTTCAATAAAACAAATAATACATAAAATACTGAACATTATTAAATTATTCATAAAATATATTATTGGAGTTATGAAGTAATTAAATTATTCAAATTATTCAAATTGCAATTATTTAATGAAATAATTAAATGAAAAATATGATGTTTCAACATTATACATGTCATTTCAAATTTTATTTAAATATCATATCATTTGTTATACACTCATTTGTTATATCCATTATTTATATTTATTTCTTTATTATCACTTATTTATATTATTATTGTTGTTACTTTTTATATTCTTATTTCTTCTTATTCATTCTTATTACATCAAATAAACTATTTCATTGTTATAGTTATATACTTCTGTATTATGTACATTTGAATTAATCTCATGATCATGTGAAATTTACAATAATTCAATATTTTTAACACAAAAATATTTTGATTGTATGTTTGTTATTTCATTCTTCTGTTTTTCTCTTCGATTTCCACTACTGTCTTTTTCATAGGAGTAGTTTCGTTCATCTCCATTGTTCCTAATGATGCTTTCCTCAATACTGGTTGTGTATTTATCACAAGTATCATCGTTTTCTTCTTCTCTAATTCCTTCTGTGAGATAAAATTTTCAATATCATCTTGTTGTTTTGATATGACTTGTTTTTGTGTCTCATTTTCTTTTTGTGTGTTGTCTACTTCTTCTCTTGTTATTTCTGCAATTTCTTGACTTATTATTGCTGCTTGTTGAATTTCAGAGATTTGTTTTTTTTTATCTCTTATTTTACTTTTCAGCTCCTCAACTTTCTTCTCTAGTACTTCCGCTTTTTCCTCTAACACACTATTCTTCTTCTCCGGTATTTCTCCTTTTTTCTTCAGCTCTTCTGTTTTCTCCTTTTGTTCATCCTTTTCCTTCTGTAATTTCCATTTAGTGGATTTCAGACTTCGAATGGTTTCTTCTTTGTTATTCATTTCCATGATTTTCCTTCTATCTCATTTATTTCACTGTGTAATTTTATATTTTCTTCTGTTAGTTTTTCATTTTCTTTCTTCTTTTCATTATAATTCGTTTGAACCTTCTTAATTTCTCTTTTCAAATTTTCTATTTCTTTCTCAAATTCTTTTCTGACTATTTCTTTTGCTTTTTCCATCATTTCATCTGAGATGGTTTGTTCTTCTTCCATTCTTTTTGCTTGATATTCTTTAATTTCTTCTTCTAATTTTTTAATTTGCTTTTGAAATACTTTAATTTCTTCTTTTTCTTTGTGACTTTCCTCTTCATTCTTTGTTTCTTCTTTGTTTTCTTCTTGTGTTTTTCTTCCTTTTCTGTTTCATTTATTATTTTAGCCATTTTACATCTTTTTTGTAATTCTTTGATTGGATTTCTGCTTTTCATTTCTGTTTCGATTGCTTGGATATCTTCTTCCCATCCTTTTGTTCTTTCCTTAAATTCTTCTTGCATTTTTTAATTCTCTTTTTCTTTCTAATTGCATATACTTCTTGAAGAATATCATATCATCTTTTTCTTTTACCTTCGTATTTTTTAAGTATTTCTGAATATTCTCCCTTTTCCCACTTACTTGTTATTCCTTTTATTCTTTCATGGATCTCTTTTATTGTTAACCATCTATGTCTATTGTTTGTATGTTCATTATTATTCCAGTATTTATCCTGTTTTTTTTCCGTTCTTCTTTGTCTTTGTTGTTTTTAAACCCTTTTCTTTTTGTATTTCTTTTATCATAATTATGATATCTTTTATTGTAATTGTAATATCTTTTATTGTTGTTATTGGTATTTAACCTTGTATTTCTATGTCTTGTTTGCTTTTCTTTACAAGACGTCAAGGCATTACTCCATAACAATGGCAATGAAATTTGTTGTATATCCTGAATTGGAAAAGGATGATAAATGCAAAGAAAATAAAAATAAAATTGAATAAAATGTTAAAAATCATATTTAGTATCGAAACAAATGATGTTTATTAAACAAATAACCAATAAGAAAAGAATTTACACATCTAAACAAATAACATAATTTGCCGAATGATATGCATTTAAATAAAAAACAAACTTGTTAATCATTAAATGTCAAGAGTAGTAGTAAGATTTATCTTGAATAGACAATGCATTGCAACTAAACCACTAAATTCACAAGATAATTTGAAAGTAGTCAGAGAGGTATTAAAAGGAAAGATGTCTGATTCTCAACACTTTTTAACAAGAGATGGAGATTTAATTGATGTGAACGATGAAGAGTGTTTTACTGTACAAGATGTAATTGATGAGAAAAGAATAATAAATATTAAAGGAACAGAAGTTAAAAAAGGAATAAGAATAAAGATAAATGATAAAGTACTTACCACTATTGAAATAGACAATAAAACACCATTAAGTGATGTTAGAAAAATAGTTCAAAATATACTAGAATCAGCACATTTCTATACACCTGACGATGATAGAGTTGAAAGAGATGATGAAGAAGAATTTACTGTAGAAGATATAATAAATAATGAAGAAATTAATCTTAAAGAAGAGAAAGAAAATACACCAGAAAGAAATGATATAACAATTGGAATATGTTTGAATGGAAAACCTATGCTTAAAAAGCAATTCAACAAAACTAATTCTCTTTCAGATGTTAGAAAAGAAATTGAAAATGTAAAACAAATTCCAAAAGACTTTGTGTTTGAAGATCTAGAAGGATTTAAAATACCAACTGATGATGAACAATCATTAAAATTAACATCTATTTTGTATAACAATAAGATCAATATAACAACAGAAGTTACAGATGTGTTTGAACCAAGTACTAACACATCTCTTCTAGGTTCATCAAATAATAGTACCATACCTGGCAATTCTTTAACTAATAGTATCACTTCTGATATTTCACTGAGTAATAACGCATGCATATTTGAACGAAATGTTCCAATTGAAGGAAGTATAAGATTGAAAAGTCATGAAAAAGGAAAGTTGAAAATATATTTATATCCAAATCAACCATTTAATCAAAAAGATGAGAATGATGCAATTGCTATTCTAGTCGTTGGTGAAACAGGAAGTGGAAAAACTACATTATTGAATAGTTTTGTAAATGCATTATACGGGATAAGAATAACAGATGACTTTAGATATATAATTATAAATGAAGATTATTTAGAACAGTATGGAGATCAATCTATAAGTCAAACAAGTCAAGTAATAATTTATAATATTAAAAGAACAAAAAGAACACCACCAATAAAAATAATAGATACACCAGGATTTGTAAATACAAGAGGAATTGCTTATGATATAGAAATTACTAAACAAATAAAAGAAGCATTTGAAAATAAAGTATTTGATTTAAATGCTATTTGTTTTGTTACACTACCAAATCATGTAAAAATAACAGCAGGTCAAAAATATTTATTTGAGAATATTATTAATTTATTTGGGAAAGATGTTAAAAAGAATTTTATTGCAATGTTTACATTCTGTGATGGTGAAAAACCACACGTTATAAATGCATTGGAATCAAAAGATTGCATTTTCAGTACAATTATTCCAGAAATAGATGAACCATGGTATTTAAAATTTAATAATTCAGCTATTTATAGTGATAATACAGAAGATATATTTACACAAATGTTTTGGGAATTAAGTATGAAGAATTTTGATGACTTTATAACAAAATTAGTAACATTACCAAGAATATCATTAGAGAAATCGAGAGAAGTGTTGAAGAGAAGAGAACGTATTAAAGTTCAGCTTGAAGGATTAAGAATATCATTAAATAGTCGGTTTGCAAAAATGAATGAGATAAAACAGATATATGAACAGTTATATTTGAATCGAGATAAAGTTAAAGATAATGAAAACTTTACTTTTACTGTACGTGTAACAAAACAAATTAAAATTCACTTAAAATCAGGAGAATATGCAACAAATTGTAATAAATGTCATAAAACGTGTCATTATCCATGTAGTATTAAAGGAGATATTAAAAGAGAATGTTCATGTATTGGTGATAATGGAAATTGTAAAGTATGTGGTTGTCATTCATCACAACACGTAAATGAATCATATAGATTTGATTATGTAATTGAGAAAAAACAACAAACAGCAAAAGAAGTATTTGAAAGATATAATGAAGGTAAAAAAGGTGTTGCTAACGCAGAAGCTATGTTAAAAAAGTTAGAAGATGAGTATGATAAAATTCAAACGGAACATTATGATAAGGAACAAGAAATTATCGAATGTGTTAATAGATTATCTGAAATTGCATTAAATGGTAAAGTTACCAGTTCAAATGAATATTTAGACATATTAATTCAAACAGAAAATGAAGAAAAGAAAGATAGATATAAAGAAAGAATTGAAGAATATGAAAAACTTAAACAAGCAAATGAAATGATAGAAGATATTATGAAAAAATCAACAACAAAAAAGAGTAAGGAAGATATCATGGCAGAATTTGAAGCAAGAAAGAAAGAGTTGAAAGAAGGAGAAAAAACAACAATGGATAAATATGGAGAGAATTGTGTTGTTTGTTAAAATCAAATGAAAGTTTTAATTAACTGGTTTTTAAAAATTTTTTTTAATAAGGAATAAAATTGATAAATAATATTCATTATTCACCATTGATAATACTAAACTATTTTATTGTCAATCAAATTCATTCAATATGTTTGAAATAATAGAATAAATAAATCAAATAGACTGTTTTGTTGTTAAATCCATTGTTTTAATATCACTAATAATGTCATTTTCAAAAGTTACACCATTTAATTAATTCTACTTTTGATTGATTTATTTTCATTTTATTTGTATTGTAAATATCATTTTTTCTTTATTTTTAGTTTCTCGTTATTTCTTCTAATTATTTTTGTTTATATCTATAATTCAAATTATTTGTCTTTTTTCTCTGACTTTATTCTTTTTCTCTATATTCTTAGTATTTCTTTATTTTTCTTTATTTTATTCATTCTTATAAACTTTCTATTTCTTCTTTCTATTATGTCTTTTATATTTATATTTGTATTTCATTTCTTTATTTTATGTTATTCTTTCATTACATTATTTGAATTTTTGTATTTCTTTCGTTCATCAATGAATAACACAGAAATTGAAATGAAACATATTAAAAATAGCTGTAAAAGAAATAAATTTGAAATTGTCTTTCAATGTGATGAATCAACAATGAAAATGATGTTTTAATGAATGTGCGAGAAAAATGGCAATTCAAAATGTTCTCTTATTATTTTGTTGATAATTCATTATGTTAATTGATTGTTTCACAAATAAATACTTAAAAAAGAAGAATATCATCTGAAACAATCATCAAAAGTTGAGATATTTCATTTCTATGTGTTTTTATTGTATATTGAAATACATATTGAAATAAAATACTCCAAAAAACATTTGAATAATCATGACTGAAAAGAAATATATAAAATAATATGTTTAGAACGTGATTTGAAATAATGCGTTAATTATTGAAATATATAAGATTAAATATATTGAATGAGATTATGAAAATAATGAATGAGAAATTGATGAAGATAGAAATCAATTAATGAAGAAATGGATAAAAAGACATCTTACAATTCATGGGTATTGATTTAACAAATACTTTTCTCAAGAATATACATAAATTCAATCAGAATCAATAAATAATGTTTCATTCTCATTCTTCTGAAATAAATTACTTCAACATAAAACAATACTTGACAAATTAATTACAATATTGTCAATTGAAATTATATGTTAAACAACATTTATAAAGATATATAAATATTTATTTGTATTTAATTTTAATATTTTGTGTAAAATAATTATCAAATATAAACAATAAAGATATATAAAATCAAGTAATGTGTTTGTTATAATATTTATTTAGAGAAGAAATAGAAAATAGAAACGATGTGATTTAACAACATCAATAATACTAATTTTATAAATGCATTATTGAAATATATTGAATTAATTTAATTTAAACAATGAAGAAGTGTTGTTAAAGATATTTTATTCAATACTTAACAATAAAACAACAAATTAAGATTAATTGTGATAATGTCTTTCTATCTTTCACTTTTGTATATTTTATTTCAATATATTATAACAATCTTCTTTGAACAATCATAAAATAAGTGTTAGAATATTCAAATGAAATAAAAATAAAGAGTAACATAGAAATGAATATTCAAAAATGATATAGAAATGATAAATTAATACAAATCAAAATGAAAATAGTCAATATTTTGATTATTGTAATAATA